AATAAAAATTTTTTTAGAAAGAATAAAATAAATTAAAAAAAAAAAAAATTGTTTTAATATATTAAAAACAAATTCATTTGGTTGGATTTGGTGAAATGAGTCACACCAAAAACTTTCACCATCCTCCTTATAGTCACTATCAATAGACCTAACACATTCTAAAGATTGATGACAACAAAAAAAAAAGTTTCGGTTTTTTTTTTTTTTCTTGCATTTCCAAGTTTTGAAGGTACAATTTCATTTGGATGCAGTAAGAATCACATCACATAAGAATAAAAGGATAAACTTATAAGATTCTGTAAAAATTAGTCTAATTATGTGAAACTAGAAAAAAAAACCGTTATTTCTTTAACCTGCAAAAATTTAAATGTAATGTCAGTCGCTATCTACTGTCCTGATTACTCTTTCCTCTTCAAACTCATTATTAATGTTTCTGTTCCTAATTCTTCCACACCCTGTAACTCCTTGTGTCTTAGTGGCTCTACACACCCAAAATTTTTTATAACACTAAATAAATAAGGAAACCCTGTTTTATCTATAACATACTTGTTCTTCACTCAATCATAACTAAATAAAAAAAATTAAAAAAATTAAAGCTGATTTCTTGACTAAATGTGTAAACTTAGGTGAAAACAATAAAAACAAAAATAGAATTTGTTTGTGTGCACACATACAACACTACCCACACCCAAGCCGCTCCACTGACCAACCAACCAATGATTACTCCCACATTGCATTTCAATTCTCAATCATGTCAGTGTGCACTGAAGATTGGGAAAGAGTATGATGTATGCTCACAAGGTAATATGATGAAAGACAAACACCATGTTGGAATGCAACCTTATCTGTCTATATTTATGAGTTGAGGTATTGTAATTATTTAAACTATTTACATTGTTTGACTGTTGTCCTCCTCTTCATTGCCATATACACATTTTGGCCATTGTATGCTCCAGCCTTCTTCAAGATCTGTCTATATTTCCGTGATGAGGTATTGTAATTATTTATACAATTTACGTTGTTCAGACTGCTTCCTCATCTTTGTTGTTATATTCACAATGTTGCACCTGGAACTAGAACGATCTACACTGGTGGATGAAATAAAGGGTTCAATTCAAAATTTCACACAGCTGAAGAAGGCCAGAGTGTACAATGGCTAAAACGTTGTGAATGTGGCAACAAAGATGAGGATAAAAGTCTGAACACAGTAGTGTAAATAATGCAAACCATGTTTTTTCCTCATATAGGTAAATGTTTTATTAGGGCTTTACCTGTTTTCCTGGGCAGATAGAGAGGGGATATGTGAGACAAGTTCTGCAATGTTAGTTCTTCTCCCTACTAACTTCTCATCCATCTACTCATCCCGCTGTGGTGGCTGGCTGGCAATATAAATGGATGGCACAGGAACCATGCAACAGAAAAGTCCTTTTCCTCAACAAGGACAGGCCAGAACTTGCAGGTAATACCAAACATGACTGTTAATATAGACCAGCACCTGGATATACTCTTTCCAAGTTTTTTTGCCCTCGTCCACTCTTTTTACTTCCTGTTCCCTCTTTGATTAAAGCAGATACCATTTAAAAGACCAAACTTCAAAAGGAACCATCTTCTGGGCTATCAAGCAGAAATACTCAAGATCAAGATAAAACCACTTGTTCCCTTTCTAAGTGGATGTCCATAGTATCGTGTGTGTGTGTGTGTGTGTTCAAAAGATTTCAGGGCTTAGGGCCACATCAAATATTGAAACACCCATTCCCATATGATTACCAAAGTTAAGCAATGTCGAACTTGGTCAGTACCTAGATGGCTACCTGCTTGGAAATACCTGGTGCTGTAAGCTTAGATGTGCAGGTGGTGTAATGGATAATGGCTTGGAATTATTAATTGGAGAGCTGAGTTCCAATTCCTGTTGGGTTCATTATATTTACTTATACACAAATACCCTTGAGAAAGGTTTGGATCCACCACTTATACTCCCAGCTATGCATTAATTAATAAGATTTGTATCACCAAACCATTATCTTAAAAAAAGATCCTTACAAATTAAAAATATTTTATGCCATTAAATAAGCTGCAAAGGTTGATAAGCCATAAAAAAACAAATCACTCAATCAAAATATTTTGGACAATAGATGAAATTACTAAATGATAACAATATGAATTTTACACACACGCTATTGACCACCTTGGTGGTTAAGATAGTTGCATATTTATCACAATGCCCAACATTTAATGTTCAGGCACAGGCAGAAGGGTTTCAAAATGCTGATTTTCAAGGCAGAGCTTCAAAACTTGTTAAATCAATGCCATTTTCTATTTGTCCTTGTGCCAGATTTTGATGAATTGGTATTGAGATTGATAAGTTTAGTTTTCTTCTTTTTATGTGCCGTATCTCTTCAGGATGTAGGCGATCATGGCCCTCCACATCTTCCTGTCGTTTGTAGCTCTTAATAAGTTTTGTCTGTTATTTCTCCCAAACCCTTTTCTACCATCCATTTACTAAAGACCATCAAGTATGTTACATGCTGCTTTCCTCTGTTCCTCTTCCCTTCAATCTGTCATGTAAGTCTTCTTCTTTTATATGCCGTGTCCCTTCAGGATGTAGGCGATCATGGCCCTCCACATCTTCCTATCCCTTGTAGCTCTTAATAAGTTTTGTTTATTTGTTATTTCTCCCAAACCTTGTTCAACCATCCATTTGCTGAAGCCCATCATGTATGTTTATTGTAACTTTCTATTGCAAGGTAATTGTTATATTCTCCATACATAATGCTTAGGCTACTTGCTGTAACACCTGTATAGTTAGTAAGAAGACTGACTCCAAACAACTAGTCTCATACCATGGAACTCTTTATAGTATTAGACAAATTCAGTCACTGGGGGCTTACTCTTTACTCTACAACATACCCACCTCTTTTAAAATTAATACTTTATTAAATAAATGTTTTTTTATTTAATACTAGCAGTAGAGCCCGGCGTTGCCTGGGGATGTAACAGTAAGAGATAGATCAAGTATCGACTATCATAAAGACTTAAAAATAAAATTGACAAAGATTGTTTAAGGTTGACAGACACGCATGTCTTAATTATTTTTTTTTGGGGGGGGTTAACAAATTGGTCAAACTCAAACAAAAACATTGTTTTCAATCATTATTAGTCTACCAATTGAATAGAATTTTATTATAAACAATTGTCTTGTAAATGGAATTTTTAAAGCATTCTGAATGTAAAAATAAAGAAAAAAGTGTGCAAGACAATAAGAAACACTACCTGTCAAAAAAAGTGAAGTTTTGTTGAAATCGGTTGAAAAATGTAGGAAATCCGATCCCATATATAAACGAGCACACACACACACACACAAACTGGGTTTTATAATAAGTATAACTTGATATGAGTTGTCCCCCTTTCATTCTGGTGACAGAATCGTGTTTTCAAATTGATTTCATGCAAAAACAATTGTGTTTTTCCAATTTTTGGCACTGTCAGAACTACCACAAGGTAATTTTACGCAGTCCTGTGAAGTTTTGTTGAAATCAGTTGAAAAATGTAGGAAATCCGATCCAATATATAAACGTACACACACACACACACACACAATCTGCGTTTTATAATAAGTAAGATTAATATCACTCCCTGGAGAGTTCATCAACATACTTAACTTTGTAGCATTTTCTTTTTCTTGAACTTGTCCTTATAAGTTTCATGATTTCTTTTGGTGCTGACACATCAAAAATGTTGTACTGCATTTTTATCAGTTCTTCATATCATTCATCAGTGTATCTTTTCTTCAGCTGATTTTGATGTTGAAGTCTTTTTCTGTTGTTCCACTTTTCCAAAAATTTATTCTGGACTTGGTAATAGGCAGTTGCATATTTTAAGACAATTATTTAATCCAATTCAGAATTATTTGTAACAATTTTGTTGTTTTTGCAATTGTAGCAACTGTTAGTTATTTTGTTGTTGCAAAACCTGTTATTGTTGTTAGATTTCCACAATGATAGCCAAAATTTTCTCCATAACTTCAAATCCTTTGACTTCAAATATAATAACTCCAGTTATAATATGGTAACTGTTACAAAATGCTTGCGTTTCGAATACCTGGTCACCCACTATTATAATTTCAGTTATAATGTGTCAATTGCTATCCTGCACTTGACTTTGAACATCCTCATCGCCAACTGTAACTTCCTTATTGTAAGGTTATTGTTATAACACACACTCGTACTTGATAAGAGTGTGTCTTATAACACACTAATTCATATAAGTATTCTCTATATGTAATGCTTAGGTTACTTTCTGTAATGCCTGTATAATTAGTATGAAGACTGACTCCAAACAACTACCAACGACCTCATACCATGGAACTCTTTAGAGTATTGGATGAGTTTGTACGGTCACTAGGGGTGGGGTGTACTCTTTACTCCACAACAATGTTATACGCTGCTTTCCTCTGTCCCTGTCTGTGAGTATTCTCCAAGCCTTCCTTTCTCATTACATGTCCCAGAAATTTCAACTGCCACTTCCTGATATTTAAAAAAAAATTTTTTGTAGTGAAATTTACACACACACACACACACACACACACACAGTTTTAAATAGTCTGATGTATAAAGAAATATATCCATCCTGGTGAATAATAATACCTTCTACTCTAGACGCTATTGTTATAAAAAGTAAACAGGCCTCATTAAATAAAATATCATTCAGCAGAGGAGACAATAATTTGAATAATAAATAAAATAATAAAAAATATATAAAATACAATAAACAAATAAATTGCGTTCTTTCTCTGCATCTCATTCCTAATAACCATTACACGTGGCATCATGTCATTCTATTTCAAGCTTACAAAAAGAAACTGTCCCACTTTTTGACATTTCCTTTTTTTTTTTTCTTTTTTCCAGAATTACCAATTATCATGGAATACTTCCGAGCCAACCTTAACTGCTTGTTTTCAGAAAACTGTTCTAATCTGGGTACCTTGTGCTTTCCTTTGGCTGATGTTACCATTCCGGGTACTTGATCTCTATTGGCACAAGAAACCTAGTCTGCCATTAACTTATCTCTTTATTGCAAAGAAGGCAAGTATTTTTTTTCTTTTTTGTTACAAAAATATCTTGTTAACCTTTCTGCTGTTAAAAATTTTTTTTAATTCAAAGTTGTCTTCATATGCTGGCTGCACCAGGAAGCTGAACAAATGCTGCTGGACCATGTGAATTCAATAAGAGTTTTGATCCAGTTAACAATGGAAAAAGAAAATAATCAACTAACCTTCTTGGATGTACTAATAACTTGCACAGAGAATGGGTTCAAACATCCGTTATATCACAAGCTAACCTTCACCAGACAATACCTCAACTTCAATTCCCACCATCCATACAATGTGAAGAAAGGTATCATCCGATGCTTACAACACTAGGCAACAATCATAAGTGGCAACCCAGACTTTTAAGGACCGAATATGTTTTAATTGTGGCATAATTAAATACAGAAAAAATGTTACTGAAAGCAAAAAAAAAAAATTAAAGACTATAGTACTGTTAACAATGCTGACTCTTGTGGTCCTACTAAGGATTGAACTCCCATCCTGGGCTAACAAATTTCTAAAGATATTAGACTCCTGATGTGTTCTAAGCAGTGGTAGTAGCAGGCTTGTCTCCCTTCCTGCCAAAATGGATTTAACCTTTAGGCATTAAGTTTACTAAAATTTCTCCTTGGGGTGAATTTTTCTATTGCCTGGGGAATTGCTGTCATTCAGTTTATTACACAAGTTCATATTTTTATCAGGGTCTGTGACAGTGATATCACCAACTAAAGAAGAACATTTGTCGATGAACAGAAAATCCTTTGAAGTAAACATGAACAAAGTGCCTGTAACATTTCAGCCAGACAAATTCAAATATTACAATAATTTCAGAAGATGCGATCTGGAACAAACAAAAAAATAAACGTACCAAAAATGAAAAAATGTGGAACAATTATTAAAAATAGACCTTTAAGTGCTGAATCTAGGTGCATTGTCAATGTTGTTGCTCCCATGTCACTAGAAGCTTCAGGTCTAAATAAACTTCTTCGATGGGTGACCCAACTGAATATGATCAGTATTCAGTCTGCACCCAGAATGAAATTTACTACTAGCTTTAGGACATGCATTATATAAGTTCCCCCAGAAAATCAAGACTTCACTTGGGCTATTCGATGTTATAGATCGGGTATGCTTGGTTGTACTGATCTTCCTACATGCATCCAAGACAAATTGAATATAAAAGCAAGAATTGTGTGTGGAATTTCTTTTAGAGCAGTGATTCTCAACGTCATCTAGGTGGATCACATAGCATTTCTAGCCATAAAAAAATTGTAGCCATTTCACAAAAATGTATCTAAATTATTCATACTTTGAAGAATTGTACGTATTATGCAGTGCTATATTTTTATTTATCATATATAAAATGTTATATATACTATATATAATATAAATTTTTTATTTATATAAAAAAAATGATTCCTATGTTAATAGATCACTACAAATCAAGATCAAGGTAGTCACTAGCTGAATGAACTAAGACTGAATGACATCATCAAAATTGATTTTGATATTGTGTTTATCCTTGTTTACTAAAATAAATTTTAAAATGTAAATAGACTACTTTTTCTTTTCATTGAGTATTTTAGTGTAAAAATTAAAAAGCCTAAAAATAGAATTGGTCCATTGGAATTTTTTAAGAAAAAAAATGGTCCATGGGCTGAAAAAGTTTAAGAAGCACTGTTTTAGCGAAAAGACCTGAAATGCAAATGCTTATATTGTTAAGCATGTTCTAAATTGACAGGCTATAAATATTCCACCTCATTGAATAAGGCAAATAATTCTGTCTGTAAGGTGGCGAAAATCCTCTCTCTCACTAACTCTCTCTCTCTCTCACTAACTCTCTCTCTCTCTCACTAACTCTCTCTCTCTCTCACTAACTCTCTCTCTCTCACTAACTCTCTCTCACTAACTCTCTCTCTCTCTCACTAACTCTCTCTCTCTCTCACTAACTCTCTCTCTCTCTCACTAACTCTCTCTCTCTCACACACACAATGAATCAGGATTACATGTGAAAGAATTAAAACTTAAATATAATGTCAATGCAACAAAGCCAAGTCCTTGTTGCATTGAAAAAGAAAACCTAAAACTTTTATTTAAACCCAAAAGTCCTGTGTTGTTTTCTGCTGTTGAAACTAAGATATTAAAACTTTTTTTTTTTTTAATCTGTATCCCCCCAAGCAAGACGGTAAAGCCACTAAAACACAAGGGGTTAAAGGGTGTGGAAGAATTAAGAACAGAAACTGGCCATTTCAAGAAAGAAATTCGGATTTCTAACACATAAAAAGAGAATGTCTCATATTAAGAAATATTTAACATCGAAAAACATAAAGGAGAAAAAAATCATTTTTAATATGTGGAAATCTCCATCCTTTACCTGAAGATGGTCGTGAGACCAGAAACGTGTGTAGTAAAATTATGGAAAATAAAGCATAATATTTTTCTAAAAAAAAAAAAAAACATTACAACCAAAAACGTTTGCAGTATCTCTCTTCTTTTTAATAAACACACTTTTCTCTTGTTGGAACTACTATAACCTCTTCCCCTTTTTTATATATATATATATATATATATATATATATATATATATATATATATATATATATAATAAAGATTTAAAATTTGGATAGAAAGATAGGAAAACATTTTTTTAATATGCCCCACTGCACTTTTTGGGGGAAGTAAGAGGAGATTATTTTCTATTGATGATAATTATGCAAAAGCTGCAATAATTCCATTAGGACAACAATTTCATGAGGTTTATCCTGGAATATGAAGCAAGGAGCTTCTATTGATAGGTTCTGTGTATTGCCTAAAAATGGACTGTGATATTGAAAACTTAGTGAAATCTTTCAAAAACTGTGCAAAGGTTTACTAAAAATTAGCCATTTAGATTCTGCCTGACCAATAAATGGATTCAATTACTTAATAGTTCTCGATAGCCTTTCAAAATGGCCTGAAATTTTGAAGGACAAAAGAATAACTTCAGTAGTAACCATTGTCCAATTACAGTAAATATTTTCCAGATATGGAATCCCAAATACACTAGTTTCAGTCCTGGGTATGACGATAAACTGCATCCAGCATCAAGCCCTCTGATCAGGAGATTTGAAGTTTTAAGGAACATGGAACCACCTCTTAATTGCAGGTGTTTCTAGGTCCACTCTGACCCAAGGTGGTAGCACCTGTTAGGGTCCCAGCTATGGACAAATAGTGAACACTCAAAGATCAAAATGTTTTTTTTATAGTAAAAATACCAGCAATATATTTTTATAAAAAAAAAAAAAAAAATTACCAACAAAACATTTTTATAGTAAAAATATCAGCAATACATTTTTATAAAAAGAAAATTATTACCAACAATATATTTTTATACCAAAATAACAATCAGTTCAACATTGAAAAAGAATTTTAAAAAAATACATTTTTAGAGTAAAATTACCAGTAATATATATATTATTTTTTTTTGAAAAATCATATGTTTTATGATCTACAAACTATACATCTAAAAAACATGTTTGCCCTGAAAGCACAAAATTATGTACAAAATATCTGTAGTTGAAGCCATAAAATTGCATACAAAATATTTAGATTTTGGCATTAAATAACCCATAGAGATGTTGATAAGTTGCTAAACCGACCAACAATTCACTTTGGTTGAATTTGAAAATTTCTGTAAATATCGTTCTACTAAGCACCACACTACATAACCTTTTCACCCAACAACAAATTGTCAAGCGGAAAGCAAACACCTTTTAAAAGTCTTTAAAAAAAAAAAAAAAAGGAGAAAAGATGGAAGAAGAGGAGATATTCAAACAGTTTTTAAGTTTCTATTGGCACACTTTTAGCCAAAATACCAAAGGTGGAATTTCACCAGCAGAATTAATGGTCAACAAAAAGATTATGAATATATATTTATGGCACTTAATTTATATACTGGTGTATTATGCAACTTTTAATGACCTACTTTTGGAGCTAATTTTAAGGAATTCACATCATATACAAGATGTAATATTAGCATAGGTACTGCTGGCATAGGTACATAGGTATTAGCATAGGTATGCTGTTGACCAAACTATCCATTTACTGTAGTCAAACAGTACAGATGTATTTAGAATAAACATCGCACGTTACACGAGTATATACAGTAAATAAGTAAGATTTAATTCAAAATGTAAAATAATAAAATCTTTTGAACTGGTGAATGTATTTATAGCAATAATCAGGGAAAATATGCTGAACAAAGGACCCTCTTTATTCATAATTGACAAAGTTTAGACATTGAATAAGCACGCAAAAATCGTTTCCCTTGAATTTATTGTGACATTTGGGGTACCTACTTGAGTATTATCACTGGAAAAAAACAAAAGAAAATGTGTCATCAGTGGTGTGTAGAAGTGGGGGGGAGGGTGCAATGGCCCCAGGCATCCATATCAGGAGGGTATCCAATCAAAGACTGAAATAAAAATTGTTTATATTTAATTTGAATAAAGTGTTTATTTAATGTTTCATCTGTTTTTACTTATATTTAAAATGTCTTCCTTTTTCACATTTCTCAGTACTAGGCCCTATAACCCCCTTCCCCCTCCTTTGAGTTTTAGGGGGCATACAATGAAGGAGTTAGCCTCAAACATCACCAGGTCACTGTGTGTCATAATGGAGATTTTATAGTTAAACCTAAAATGCTGACATTACTCCCTTAAAAGGAAAAGAGCCTTCTCTTAAAGGGGAAGGTGTTGTGTATGTAGTAGATTGTCAGGACCAGGCTCTGGGTGACTAAGTCAAAGTCCTGGAGTCATCCTGTCACTCGTCTTGTGCAGCTCACTTTTTTTTTTCAGGCATGCAAATTAGTGATAGTTTTAAAGGAGCTGGAACCACACATACACTCCGACTAAATTGCAAATTGAAGCTCCTACCGAGCAGGCAAGACATAACAGCCTCTTAGCCTCAGGTAAGTTAGTTTTTTGGTCCCATTTCAACACAGTATCATGAAATGGA